GGCATGCCTGCCCGCAGGCAGTGGGGCACTGGGGGCTGGACGGAGCAGCGTGGGAGCTGGACAGGGCAGCTTGGCGTCTGGGGGTGGGGGCCCCAATGCCGCCCTGAGCAACGGAGCTTCCACGTGGGCACTGGCTGCATTTCCCTTTCGGGAAGCACCCTTGGGTACCACAGACCGGAGGCAGGCAGGGGTGCCAGTCCAGCAAGGAGAAAGATGCCAATGCCTGCACTCCGACATACATCCAGGAGCCCAGGGAGTGTCAGCCTCTAGGGTCTTCCGGGCACTGTCTGAGTGGACACGAGTCCTGAGGCCCACCCCAAATCCCACCTGGGACGCGCTCTCAGGAAAAGGCCTGTCCCTTTAAGGGATAGCTTAGTTCTGAATAAAGCGCCTGTGGGGACATACAGATGCAGCAAAGGCCACATGGGCAGGTGTGTGTCCAAACCACTCGGAGGGAGATCTGCTGGGTCCTCGAAAAGTTAAACCGAGTCACCACGTGACCGAGTAATTCCGCTCCTAGGTGTGCACCCGGGGGGCCGAAACTGGGGACTCCGACGGGGACTTGTGCTCCCAGCTTCACGGCAGCAGATTCCCAACAGCAAGAGGTGGACACACCCCCGGCGTACTTCGGCAGGCGGTGGACGCTCACCACCTGGCCCGTCCACACGGGGAGCGTCACTCGGCCATGAAAGCGGGGAGGTGCTGACACTTGCCATCACCACGTGGACGGACCCTGGACACGCGATGCTCAGCGAGAGACGCCGGACACACGGGACCACGCGGTGTGAGATTCCCCCGATGTGACACGTCCAGAACAGGCGTGTCCACGGGGACAGGAAGTGGGTGAGTGGGTGTCAGGGGCTGGGGAGGGGGTGGGGATTTTCTGTTTTGGAAAATGGAAGGTTCTAGAAATGGATGGGGTGCTGGCTGTACAACTGTGATTGTTCTTAATCCCACTCAACGGTACACTTGTAACTGGTTAAATACCACATTTTATGTTTTATACAGATGTCAATGTTATTAAAAAAAATAACCCACTGAGGCCCGGGGGGTGCGGTGATGAGCGCTGCCCCAGACTGGGGGTCCGAGCCCACACACGCTGTCTAGACCCAGGCAAAGGCGAGACTCAGATTCTCAATGGCCGACTATTGGCTCTCGCCTTGTGGGCAGAGCCCCCTCCCCAGGTCATCTCAAGCCCTTCAGGTCTCTCGGGGTCCTCAACCTCCAGCTGGGTGTGTGCAGGGCCCTCCCCATCATGGCCGGAGTCCCCACGTCCACTCAGGCAGTGTCTGGAGGGGCCTAGGGGCTGTGACTCCCTGGGCTGCTCCAGGTGGGTGGATGAAGAGACCGAGGCTCCCAGGGCGTGGAGGGACCAGGCCACATAAGTAAAGAGCTGGTGTCCCGGCTCTGGCTCGGCTGCGCGAGCCTCTGGTTCAGAGCCGCTGTCAACTGGCTCCTTCCCAGGCATCACAGCGAGAGACGAGCTATCAGCACCCGCCGGCCGGCCGTGCGCCACTCCAGGGGATTGATCCCCAGGAAACTGTCCAAGAGGAGGAGAGTGAGCAAAACCTGATTTGCACCATGTTCACAGCAGCTCGGTCTGCGAAAGCCAAAGGCTGGAAGGGACCCAATGCCTGACACCGTGACGATGGCAGCCAGACCTGGCTGACACCGCTTCTCCGGCCCGCTGGCAGACGTGACCTCGGCCGAGTCCCGCCAATCCCTGGGAGCCTCAGTCTCTTCTTCTGCCCACCTGGGAGGAGTCCAGGGAGTGGCAGCCTTTGAGGCCCCTGCCCACACGTGATGAAACCTCCTGAGTGGCCGTGGGTACCCTCTGGTCATGACCTGGGGTGGGGGGTGGGGGTTATGGGCAAACTCGGATGATTGCGAGACGTTCCAGAGCTGCTTTTGCCGGAACCTAGACAAAGTGTGGGGCTCGGAGCCCTGATCTGGGGCCATCTGCTCACCCCTGGGACCCCAGGGCCTCAGCACCCGGAGGGACTGAGGGGGCCCACCTGTCTGCTGGCCTGCTCCCCAACCCCAACCCCCAGGGCATCCCCCTGTAGAGCTCCTAATCCCACCCCTGCCCCTCCCTTCATTGTGGGGAGCTGCTGGGGAACAGCAAGCAGGACCGAGTAGCTGAGAAGGTTGTGGGTGTTGGGGGCGGGGGAGAGGGTGGGGGAGGCTAGAAGTCACAGAGGCCTAGAAACCATCTAAATGGCCACAGAGCATGAGGGCGTCCGCGATACGTGACTCTTCAGAGACATGCTCTCCCTTTTATCTGGGGGTGAGGACATGACCCGTCTTCCTCATAGAGAGGCAGCCCAGCCAGTGAGTGGGGACAAGGAACTGAGACCCAGGCCCGCTGTCCCCAGGGGCCGCTCTCTGTCTACGACCTGGCTGTCTCGAAACTCCCCCACTGAGCGTTGGCACGGTGAGCCCTCAGCTACCCAGAGCCTCCAATGACCGTCATTAAGCTCTGCATTTAAGATTTTTCCCTAACTAGTAACAGTGGTGCCCTCCACGGGGCCCTGGCTTCTGTGAAAACACCCAGGCCCCGGCAGCTTGGTCCAGGAGGGCAGCGGACGGATGGGCCAGTTCACACCTTGTTCACGGAAGGAGCCTCACAGGCCAGAGAGACACAGGGATAAGCCTGGGGTCTCCCTGTAGACAGAAGAGAGCCCAACCCTCTCCCAGGCACATGCACATGGGCCAGTGACCTCAGTGGGGCGCGGTGGCCGCCACTGCCACACGCTCAGGCCTGCTCTAGCAGCTGTCTGGCCATGCTCTTGGCTCAGACAGAGCAACCGAGGCACAGCACATGTTAAGGGCCCCGGAGGCCAGACTTCCCGGCCAGCGCCCGTCTGCGGCGCCGCTGCCACTGGCCGCCGGCCGGGGATGTGGCAAGCTCCACCCTGCAGGATGTGACAGCCACGCACGAGGAATTACTATCGGCAAATCCGAGGGATTAGGGGCCAGGCCGGTGATTAAGGGCGAGCCCGGACGGGGATCAGGGGCCTGAGCCCTCGGATGTGGAGTTAACGGAGAGGCCAGTGTCAGGGATTACGCGAGGGAGACGCCTCTGGGGGAAGACGCGGGATTCCGGGTCCTGAGGCAGGGCAGACTGGGCCGCTGGTGTGCCAGGACGCATGGCGACCAGACAGACCTGGCCCTCCCACAGGGCCCCGGCCTGGGCGGGAGAGACGGGCCTTCCACACAAACAGATAAAGCAAAGGGGCGCTTCAGCCAGGGTGGGCAGAGAGGGCTTCTCGGAACAGGTGGCGCAGTGTGGGAAGCACTGCACCCTTGACCAGGGCAAGGGCTCTGAGGCCGCACTCAGGTTTCCCCTTTCCAGCGAGGCTGGCGGCCTGGGGCTGGACC